TGAATATTTGTGTACTATGTTTACTAGTAATTTTAAGGAAAAGGACGAAGCAAAAATTAACGTAATTAAGATTGATTATAGCATTGTATCGATCGTTATTAAATAAATTTATGGTTATATGCTAAAGTTAACATTAATGAAATTATCGCGAGTTCAGGCAGTCTATACGCTAGCACTAAAATAGGCTATCAAGAAATTGCAGGAGCAATGCCATTGCTACTTTATCACAATCTTAAACGCTAAAAATTGCTGTCAATTAGCAGCTTTTGCTGATTACTATCATGCACAAGATTCATAGCATGAAATTCTAGCTTAAGTCACTGACAATTTCTTTAGATGTATCAAGACTAAATCACTTAAGGATCTCTCCTATAATTTACTTGTTAAATTAATACAATGTGAGTATCTTAATATCACTAATGAAGATCAGATACTTAAATCTCTCAATATTTGGATAGATTCAGATACATCCATGTGAGGTTGATAGATCAAGAATCTTTAAAACTTTAGAAAATTAAGATTATATTGAACAAAACCTCCTTTACAAAGATACAACGTAATCGATTAGCTGAGGATCTCTAACGAGAAAGATCTATCTTACTATATTAAACTACTCGCTTATATACTTTTACGTGTTTACAGTCTTTGCACCTTACTTACTACACACTTCAGTATTAGCATCTCAAATACAGGATAGTTTGCACCTTTCATGTGAAGCTCTAGTGTGAGCACTGTAGCGCTCCTCTTCCAAAGGATTACAGTTACTAATCTAGCTATATTTAATACTTTAGCTTCTAACGAGAATATCTATCACATGTTGAATACAACACCTACGATAAACATTACTAAATATATCATCAACTTAGAATACAATATTACACTGTCTTACAATCCAGTAGGAAAAATTGATAATATCTCTCTTATGTCATTTGTGTTTAGTATACATTTTGCCGGAATCTTTAATTTCTATAGATGAAAGATATATGAATGAAATTGAAAATTCGCTTGAATATTTAAATACGATACGACGAGTTCAACATTACCGACAAAATCATGAAAATTATTTCGATAAATCGACGAAGCCACGCACGCACTATGAAAACATCGATTTTGTTGGCGTTATATTAGTCCACGTAGCCGATATTAAAGAAGATTGTTATAATTTACACGGTATAGTAAAATGCAATTGCTATCCTCTTTATAGATTTGTTTCCAGTACTTCAGATAAAGTTAGAGATTTTACATTATTTGAGTGTGTGCGCTTGATCTATGCAGTTGTTTGTGTTGGTCATAAAGTTGTTGTTTTTGGAGGCATTAATACAGTTAAACTGAAAAAATTAGTCTATCGATAATCTTTGGCCAGTAGAAAATATGGCCATACAATAATAGTATTTGGCGCCGAATTAGCTGTAACACTTGTCAAATTTCGACATCAAAATTCTAACTCGTATGCACAGATGTCTATATTTATCTACGATATAAATTTAAACCTAAACTATCTGATATTTTTTTATCAAATAAATCAATTGCAGTTATTATCATACTACCTATGCAACTTAAACCTCCATAAATTATAATTATGAATTAATATAGTGACCTAAAAGTTTTGACAAATTTTTGTTACTTCTAATCCTTCACTAATGAATGTTCACTGTTTATAGAGAGATTTCAAATTAATTTTAGTTATATCATGTACTCGTATTCAATTTTTAGACGTAGAGAAAGAAGTTCTGAATTCGGTAATTGCATTCGATTTCCGAAAAGCTGAAGGGACAGTTCCAGTGTGGGGTTTTGACTTACCACAACCCTTAGCTTACCTTGCTGCTTGCATTTACAATGGCGAGATATATATTACGGGTGGCTTAAATGAGGATCGTCAATGTTCCAACAAAGTATGGAAACTAAGTAGACAAAGCAAGACTTGAGAAGAAGTAGTATTACTGAATGTTCCTCGTAAATGCTGCCAAGCTGTTGTTGTTGATAATTATATCTATATTGGCGGCGGTCTAGATGATAATGAAGAATTAATTACAACATTTGAAAGATATGATCCTATACATAATACTTGGAATTTCGTTTATGACATTACAGCATCAAATCTTTCAATACGTTTGCTTTATGCTCGTAGTATACTACTTATCTACCGCACTCAAAGTTTTCACAAATGCTACATGCAAAGTCTAGATGGGAAATGGTATAAAACTTCCGATTACAAAATTAGCGAATTTAGTAGGGAAATAAATGATAAAGATTATATAACCGATGGTTATATAGCTATTAAACAAATTACGATTGAATATGGCTTCTTAATTCCTAGTTGTAAATGGCGGCGCAATATCAAGATATTCGATGCAATTCCCAAAACATCAAGTCGTGCAAAATTTGAGAACCGTAGATTGGCCATCTATCCTAGTTTCTAGTCGCGAATGGCGGTGTAATATCAAGCAAATCGATGCAAATTCCGAGAAAATCAAATTGCAGATCACAATTTAATTTTTCCACTAAAAGTTAAACATATTTTATAATTTAATAATTATACATATGATCTTATGAATGTGGATAACTGCTGCGATATCTTTAATTATAATAATAAATATCTTTGCTCTTGTAATTGTCAAAGAAAAACTAATCATGTTCATCGAATTTACTTGATATAGTAACTTTGACTTATTTATATTCGGTGTTGTCACGGTGTGAACCATCGTAAAGAGTAGATGACTAAATTTAGTGTTTAACATTTATGTATGGAGATAACTAATAATAACTTACAGTAAGAACTATAGTAGTTATTGTTTTGTTACAGTAAATTAAACGGTATTGTAGTAAGAGTTCTCATAAGGTAACTAATATTAATTGATTATAGTGTTATGTCTTGTAACGCTTGTGATGAATATGCTGAAGATATTCATCACAATACCAAGATTGGATATTAGATTGAAAAGAAATTAGGCATTGTAAATAATTTAATGGTTAAAGGTCTAATCAGAATCATTAAATATCAAAAGTTAGAATAATAATATTGCTAACCCAAATATATTATCTGAATCATCTACAATTGAACGCAATATTTAAATAATTGCTAGTAAGCGATTAGCCATCTATCTGATCTTATACTAGGAATTTGTCGTTATTTAAGTAATATTTTATTATGTCAAATTTAAGGAAATATTATGGTATTGATCTATTGTATTCGTTTTTAAAAGGGCATAACGATTTATTATGATAAATAAATATGAAAGTCGATGATCTATGATGAAAATTACTTTATCAACTTGTGACTGCACATTGTGGATGACTGTTACAAGCGAGTTTCGTGACAAGGATAAAGTGAACAAATCTCTAAATTGCTATAGTCTCCGGGATTCAATACTCCTTGACTACCTCATAAGAATTTAGACGCCTTCGCTTTTACGTTAAACAGTTTTAGAATTCTTATTTTGTTCAGCTATCTGCCGAGTTTAAATACCCTTAGGCAGCAGCCATCATGAATGAGTCATCACAGATCATGAAATTTAGTTCATATTGGATAGTAAACTGGTACAGAAAATACTCATAATGGTAGACATGAACCGAACGATTTGAGATAATTAGACTACAGCAAGCCCAAATGCAGAATTATATATGATATCATCTATCATTTAATGTCTTCAAAATATTTATCACAAGCGTTACTTCGTACCTTGACATCAGCACGATAAGAAGTTTTAGCAGTTGAGATACATCAACGGTCATTATAAAAAATTAACTAGGTTCAGTGAGACAAGTAATAATTGCCATTTAAAAATTTCATTAGAAAATGACAATAGCTTCATGCTCCTAATTTCAGGATAATTATTAGTTTTTGATATCTGTAATGTAACTTAGTATTGTGATTGTAGACTGTTAGCCATGTTTAGTATAATGTACGGTAGCGTAACTTCTATATTTATCCTAAGAGATATTTGGTAGCCATAACTATAGACTGTAGTTGTATAGACTCTATGCTAGAGTACAGATGAATATATACAGTAAGGTGTTGAGTTACTAATAAGGCTATAGGTAATAATAGAACTGTAAATCATATATTAGGATGTGGTTAATTCATTGTACTTTGGCTGAGATAAATAATGCCTACGTAAATACTGTAGTCATAATCATATTGGATTAATGATAGTCCACAGTAGAATGGCGTTCCTAAGAATAATTTAACTATATATAAAATAAGGTAAAAGGTTGCCGTGAGGATTGTAGCTGCGAATGCTACGAAAAGTATAAAAGCATGCAATTTTAGATTATTCAGTTAGTTCGTTGTAGAAGTCTTTAGTAGTAGTATTCGGCTGGAGTAGAGCTGTGTGTAGATAATCTTCGTATAAGATTCAATAATGTCCTTATTTTTCTAAAATTTGGAATTTCACGATCGGTATATATCACAATATCAAAAGAATTTGCTGATATATAAATTAGTATCAAGATAGTAATTTGGTTTTAAGACTGTTAAGAACAGAATTTTCGATATCTTTTGACGACAATAGCCCTTCATACTTTCTTATTAATTAAGTGATGCGAATTATTCTAAATAAAGTTTAGCTGAGTGATTGGCTTGTACCTGCATTTTAGACTGGTTTGTAATGGCTGAGTAATAGTCTGCTGCTATTAATGTAGGTTCACTTACGTTATACAAAAATTGAATTAACAAAATTGAGTAATTTTCTAATATGACACGCAAAGGTCAGCACCCAAAAATAGACTTTAATGACAACCTTTATTATTGCATCTGATTGTGGAAGAAAATTTCAAATTTTTCTTCTCATAAGAACAGTAGAAAACGACTAAAATGAGCCGAGTAATTATTCTATACTTAGATAAATTTGCACATAATTCAATTCGCTTCTTTGTAAAGTATGCCTATAAATGCTTCTATTCTAGTAGCCATACTAATTCGAGATTGTAAATGCTCGATTTAATACCTTACTAAGTGTAGTGCAGCCCAAATATAGCTTAAGATTATATACAGTATGTGTGAATATCGTGCATGACGTAATTACTAGGCTAATTAAGATAGATACCCTTGTATAGGTGCTAGATCGTAGAGTGAGATTAAATATGTGAGGATTTGTATTAGTAATTGCAATACGGATTGTAAAAGTTATTAGTCATACTGCTTGGCACCTCCAGGTACGCTAGAGGTGTGATGTTAGCCTTATTAAGGTAGATAATGATTTATGTGTCACGAAGATACTCTGTACACAATTGTATATAAGCAGGAGATTTTATCGCCGAAGACAGAGTAGCCATAGATAATCTAGTCCTTGGTAGAAGACGTAATTATTGTAATAAAGTGATTTTCCTTCAAGTTGTGGAAGTCGTTGCGTTTCGATAGACACTTTATTACACTAAGATAAGCCTGATAATGATACCTTAACTCTTATACGGAAGACAATTTAGGTATGTTATATTTGGCTATCAGATGCGTTTTTAACTGGAGAATCTCAATTTTATACTAGAAAGAGTTTAAATGTGCCGTCTCATTCTACTAGCCACCTGATGTACTACTACAATCTGCTGCATTCATTACATGGCTTAAACTTAGTTATAATAGCTGTTAGTCAATAACAACCATTTACGTTGACCAAATAGCTACTTTTAGAATAAAAGTTTGACTAGTAAGGATACTATCGACACATAAACAAGCCGTAAAAGGACAATTCAAATTCAAAGCAAGCTATCAGATAGACTTGCTAAACCAAAGGGGGAAAGAACATCTATTTCATTTATGCACACATTATAGCTTATTTAGCAGACTTGTCATGACAGTATTACAACAATTAAATTTATTTGTCCTGAAATAGAAGAGAGTTGAAGTACTATAATTTTATATTCGCATGCTGATTTTATAACTGCATTGATTAATCATGATTTAGTACTTTTGAGCTAAAAGAGTAAATATTTCAAAATTAAATCAAATGCTGCCGTAAGTCATATTCCCATTTATTCAAAAGGGAAAATTACAATATTGCATAAGAGTATTTGAAGTGGTATTAAACTGAGCTAACGTAGCTAGAAATTAATGTGAAAGCCTTCATGCTGACTAAAATATGTTTAAAGGATAATAAAATAAACTGGGAACGATAATATCAGCTTAGAAAGAAGCAGGGAAAGAATGATTCTGATTTACGTGTACAAGAAGCTACCGTAAAGATTTACTAGATCAAAGGCAAGAAAAGAAGACCTATTTCATTTCAGACTTTACAACAATTTTATCTATTTTCGCTGAAGTATAAGAGAACTAAAGGACTACAATTTCATATTCTACTACACAGCTACGCACATTGATTTATGACGATATTGCTTCATAAATTATAGTATAGTGCTAGTTGTGCTCAGAAAATTAACACCTGAAAAATAAATTAAATGTCACCTTATGTCTGACTTCTATTATTCCAAATGAAAGAATAATAATATCGTATTTTATTATGCGAAATAAAGAATAAAAGTCGAATCATGCTGACTCAATGGATAAATATGCAATTATTAAGGCAAGATCTTTTACTATATCTACAATAAAGTCTAATAGACTTTGAGAATATATATTAATTGATCATACGAAAATGGCTATAATTGCCGTATTTAAGTGCATTGGAGAAGTTTTCTAGAAGAGCTTGCGAATAATAATTAATCAAAGGTGGCAGTATCACTTTCTAATGACTTTTAGATATAAATAACTTCCATTGCTCTTCTTTCTAAGACAGCTACATTACAGTAATAAAATAAAGTTCAGATATTTTTCATGAATATTGTAATGGATACGTACGTTAGCACGTAAGTGTGACAGAGTTTTAGATTGCCATTGCTTGCTGTTGAGGAAGTTAACTTAGCTTCTTGCATGAGTTTTTTTGACAATTGTCGCTCTATCTATTGCCATTCTCAAGGGTCACAAATACATTCG